ATCAACCTCAACACTGTGGAGAGGTCTGATGACCTCTCCAATAACTTATAACATAATGATATTCCTCGCGTTTTCATCCTGTTTTAAACAAAACATGTATAAATATATAGTATGCATCAACGATTTAAGAATTATATCGTATCAACATTTTTCTCTATACACATATTTATTTCCATATTGACTTAAATACAGTCGAAATGGTAAAATGAAATTCATACTTGCATGATATACATGCATGATTTATAAAGAGTAAAATCAAGACCTAATTAGACGAAATAATATCGTTTGTCTTCTCAAATATCCTGACATTAGTGGGTCTTCTCGGGTCAAAAACTAGGTCACAGAAGCTAAAAATAGAAACAGCTTGTTAACACTCTAGTGACTGCAGTTTTGATCCAAATATCCTCGAAATTTGTCAGGAAGGTTGTTTTGATGATTACTAGGTCAAGTTTTAACAAGGTTCATCTCCGGCCAAAAGCTAGGACACATAAGCTAAAGATATATAAAATATTTTGGAAATGTGTCAGGAAAGTTGGTTTGATGATTTCTAGGTCAAGTTCGATTATGGTAGTCTCCGGTCAAAAACAAGGTTGCAGGGGCTAAAAAAAGAAAAAAACTTGTTAACACTCTAGTGGGTGCAGTTTGATCCAAATATCCTAGAAATTGATCAGAAAGGTTGTTTTTTATGATTTCTAGTTTGATTATGGGTCACATGCGGTCAAAAACAACTTCACACTGCCAAAATATGGAAAAACCTTGCTAATACTCTAATGGTAACATTTTGCTTCAACTCTCATCAAACTTGGTCAGGATGCTTGTCTAGTCAATTGCTTGGGGGAGTTTGAATATGAGTATATCTGATGAAAACTAGGTCACAGGAGCTTAAAATAGAAAATCTTTTGAACTCTCTAGTGGCTACTGTTGTTATCCAAATATCCTGGAAATTGGTCTGCAAGTTTGTTTTGATGATTTCTAGGTCAACTTTTATGGTTGTCTAAGACATTGCTCGGATGTGCTTGATGAGTCAGGGGAGCGATCTAGGGCCATCTTGGCCCTCTTCTTTGATAAACACGTCAAACTGAAAAACACTAATGAATGTATATACACTTTAACTTACTAAACTTTCTATGTGTCCGTTAAAATATTTAGAGACAGTTTTTTCATGCCTTTAATTTGTAATAAAATTTATTTGCATAAGCATATTTCAGTTTGATGTGTGTATCACAAGTGAGTTAATTCCTTTCATTTTTCTGTGTTAGCAGACTTTTAGCAAAAAGGGTTTTCAGTTATACCCTTAACTTTCAAATTATTCTTCAGAATCGAGTACGTTGATCCTTTTTATATCCGTGCAATATTGGGTAAGTGTTAGTCTTGTTTTTTGTCAATGATAAGCTTGACTTTATAATTGTTTTTGTCAGTAATTATGATGCGTTTTCTACCAGACATACAGGAACCTTTAATCGACTCGTTCCAATTTTATTTTGTTTTATGCGTCCATCTCGAAACAGTTTAGGCTGATACTTTATAATTGCCGTTGACATACTAGTAGCATTATATTGTTGGTCAATGTTTTATGTATTTCAAAATTTTAAGCCATATTTTACACAAAGTTACTCGTACCTTTAAATGAGTGATTCAAATTCTTAAATAGTTGACTACACACATGATATTGACATGATAGCATTTGAAATCAGATGCTTTGGAGCGTATCATTGTATATAAATAGACAAGAATCGCGAGCTAAAGTAGAAAATATATATTTTGTTTTGTATTACATGCTGACGCATTTTCGTACTTAATAGTCAAAGCCAATTATGAACTTTTTAATTAAAAAAAAGCAATTATAAATTATCTTAATTTTTTTTTCTATTTATTTTAAGATAACTAAAATGTCCAAAATTATATTATATTAATGGAATAAAAGTTTTATCCAATTGCACTTGTTTTGTTTGCTACGGTGGCACACAGGTTACATGTGTGTGTTTTTATTTATCTCGTGGCCACGAGATACTATGTCATGGCCAAGAGTTACTAAGTTACCACGACATAGTATCTCGTGGCCACGACTTAGTAACTCGTTGCCACGACTTAGTAACTCGTGGCCACGACATAGTATCTCGTGGCCACGACTTAGTAACTCGTGGCCACGACTTAGCTATCTCGTGGCCACGAGATAAATAAAAACACACACATGTCTCCTTTGTGCCACCGTAGTTTGTAGACAAAATCATTATTGACTACGACAATTACATTTGGCTTGATTGTTTTTGCACGCTAATGTAAAGGGACTGGGCATACACTTTGTCTTATCGGACAATGTTTGCATCTGGATATATCTGTTCGTATTGACTACATTTACTTTAAAACACATGTCTATTTTTTCTGAATACAATTGTGTATTCTTAATGAAAAAAAAGTTCCAATTTCCACTCAATCAGTTCATATATCACATAATTACATAATAAACCCTTAGATGAAAAGAACACACCCAAAAGGTTAAACTGAATATTTTAAACAAGTCATAAGTTTATTACTTTTGTGGTGTTACTTTTACTTTTTTGTTGAGTATACATAATTTCTTAATCGAGAAATATACCAGAAAGAACAAAATGGAACAATTTTAGAGTATGCTGTATGGTCATTGAATTTGAATCTTATTCTATTGTAGATGAAAAACATCAAAATCAGTGAATAGGGTACTAGATGTAATCAGTGAATTTATATTTACGCACACTCAATTAAATGTCTTTGCTGTATGGTTATTGAATATAAGCCTGATTCTATTTGTGGATTTGTAACTTCCAATTCGACCAGTGAATATGATACCACACTCATTTAATATGTTTTTATAATTTGTTTTATGGGCTATTATTTGAACCAATAAGATTGAAGCTATTTAAGATCATAAAATGTGTTTGTTTAATAACTGAACAAACACGTTAATCGAATGATGCCAAAAAGGTTCCTTTTTGTATGAATTCTTGTGGGCACAGTACTGATTTTTTAAACTTGCAATATAGATCAGTTATATGCCTTTGCTTTAAAAGGCACACATGTAAGAAAAATTTAAACACAATATACCGTACGGTAAACAAGTTATGGACATTGTTCTAAACTAAAGCTGTAAGAATTTTTTTTACAGAAATGAGGATACCCTTAATAATCTATTTATCGATAATATTTACATCATGATAAATGTGTTTCTATTGATTATTGTTAAAAAGAAATTCAGGCGAAAATGCACAAAAGCAAAATAATTGTTTCTACTCAAAATATTTTATATGTGTTGTAAAATGTTACCATACCCCACCCATTTTTAACACTTTTTAAATATTTTCCTACTTAGAGAGCCTTATTCAAATCATAGATTAAATTTACAAAAATGAGGGGCTGTACTCATTTAATTGTAATTTGCTTAAATTGTTTTAAACGTATATTGGTTGATCTTGTCAAATATTTAATTTTTTTTTAACCGTGTAGTTTTGATTTTATTTCACTATGAAAATATTAAGTACCAAAACTGTAAATCTGCCAATCAATATCTATTATAATATAATGAAAATGAAACACTTTTTTCAGAGAGGGTTTGAGAGATACACAAATTATGAAAAACAGAAAAAGAAAGAAAGAAAAAAAAGTTGACCATTGGGGGGGGGGGAGGTTGTACCCATGTCCCTTAAGTTAAAATCTATTTGAATACTCTGTAAAGTGAAGGTAATATGCATTGACGGGGAGTCATTCTAGAAATGAATACTACGCACTGTATTTAATTTATAACTGTTAGTAATAAGCCCGAAATAACTTGTAATACAATATATATTCCTAGACATTATTAGCCAGTTATACATACCCATAGTAAAGATAATTAAAATTAATCATGTCTCGGATAAATTTCAATAAAATGTTTCTCCATAAGATGACAAAATTATTTTTAATTCCTCACATAATCTATGCTACATGCTTGTATATATATTGCCTCGTAATATAATAATATGACATGTTTCAAGGACAATATTAGTTCAATTGTATGCACATATTAATGGAAAATATCCTTTACAGTTCCTTAATATGAACTTGTATAAAAGTGGATAAATGTTTTGGACACATGTGTTATGAACACATCTGCAGATGTTTCTAAATTCAAAATTTCACCATTTTCGTGTTAAATGCTGAATTTTGCCTAAGCCGGTGCTAGGGGGCGTGGACGGTAACTTGCACTTTCCATTACCGTCCATGAACAGGCTCAATCAAACTAAGCCTGGAACATCATCAATTTTGTCGTGTTTGGCTTCCTTTAGGGATTCTGTATTTCTCTATTCTATTGGGATATCGTCTATTATTTTTTGAAGAGCTATACATTTTTATTCTTTCAGATTGCATGTTTACAGATAAATCATAACGATATTTTTTATTATTGCGAAAATGAATTACTTGTTTGCAATTTTATGTTGATTCTTTGACAACATATACATCACAGGTCAGTTTATTTACAAGCTTTAATAATTCTTTAAAGCTGACTGTGTTGTTGGATAAACAGTAATGAAAAAAGTTCTCGGTCCCGCTATTAATGTGTTCACTAATTAGGTAAACTAGTATGTGAGCGGATAGAGATAGTTCAATCGGTAGACCTGCGGAACGGTACCCTTGTTTCAAGTCCTGGTCTTACATCACAATTTCCTCAGACTGTGACATTTTGAGCCCAACGGGGCACTCAAGTGGTATAAAGCTCCGAGTCTAATTTTATATTGTTCTCTTTACCCATTAAAACTCAAGGAAGATTTTAAATGAATTGGGCGAGTATGTCATGGCAATGAACTGTTCACTTATAAGCGGTGATAGTGTGTAAGGCACCGGATAGCTCAATTGGTAGAGCCGCAGTTCGGGTTCGAGCTGCATATTTGTCTTATCCTGTGACACTTGATATAAAAAGATACAATTACAAAGAAACACAAAAATATAAATTACCTGAAGAGTATCGTTTTAAACTTAATCTTTTTCAGCGTCAAACATCTGAATCCACGCGAAGGCGATAGCAAACATGTTCCGAATTTTTGGTTATTTGTGGAGATGGGCTTTTCCACAACCATGGCGGCAATCTTCAACCTGGGACATAGAGGTATCGTTTTAAGCATATCAGATACTTAACAATTAATCTTTCCAGTGATAAATGCTTATTAGCTAACTGCCTATCCAGTACAGCGTGTTTGTGTGAGTGTGTATAGGTGTGTGTGCGTGCGTGCGTGCATGCGTGCGTATGTGTGCGTGCGTGTGCGTGTGTGTGTGTGTGTGTGTGTGTGTGTGTGAAAGTGTTTGTGAGTAGTTGACTAAGCAATGAATAGAAATAGGAAGGGTAGTGCTAAATTGTGCATTGCTTAAATAATAAAAGATCAATTAGAAAAATTTAGAATAAATAATCATTATTTAATGCTTTAATTATATTTGGTAGTCCTGGCAACGAAAAACAGCAGTCATCTTTTTTTATCGATCACGGATTTAACAAGTTTAGCTTTTTTGTAAACGATTACGCCCCAATCAAATTAGGTTAATAACAATCATGGTCCAGTCGTTTAAATTTGTTGTTATCTGTAGTGGCAAGTTAGCTTAACTGTTGTTTAAAATTAAAATTTTCGTTTGCTAACGAAATGTTCAATTTATTTTTATTCAAAGCTATATTTTAAATTTCTTTAGTTAACGAGGCGTTAAATTGATTAACGTTCCGTAAACTATTTAATAACAAAATGATAATCCCAAAATACCGAAGACTTCGCAATGTACAGAACAACACAATGACCGAATGAGAAGAGGTAAATTCCAAGTGAGAATGAAAAGAAAATAATAAAGTGCAATAGAAGCACGTCATTTTCATTTAAAGACATATCTTTACTTGTATTAGCATAAGTAAAATAATAAAGGACTGCTTAAGGACATGCAATTCATTATGTAAACAACAAGATCTATTGACCTCCAACTTTTTGAAACCTTAACTGCCCTCAGATAAACTATATAAGTGAAATCTAAATAGACCAACCTATCACGTTTATCAAAGCAAAGATACAATTCATTTAAGCTGTCTTTCACAAAAAACTAGAAGTTGACCAATTTATTCACCCGAAACAAAATTATTAACAAAAACATAATGACTGTAGATCTTAATGCAGATTCGGAGAATTTAATTGGGATGTATCATGGTGTAGAATGATTACTGTAAATAAAGTTGTTTTTACAATATGACTTTTGCAATGTGTACTCAAATACACATAAGAACCTTAAAATAAGAATCACTCTTCGTCTTTTGCAAAATTTTGATACTCAATATAGTACTAGATATCTGTACTGTATGCAGATATTCTAAGACTGACCTGTAGCCTCGATCAGCTGTTTATTCGCACAAACAAAAATTCTCCAAACTTAACGGCAACAGTTTTGTTTTCAATAACAAAGATCCAACCGCAGTAATATAAAATATAGTCTGACTGCTCTTTTGATTTTCCCTTAGATAAAAATCATGCAATTCCTAATCAAATAGACGAAAATATAACTAAGGATATTTCTTGATGAATGGGTCAAAACATACCTTACACATGAGCTTTGCTTTCCAAACGCGTGATTTTCTATAAATTGTTATTCCTGATTCATACAATCAACCGCCGATACCTACCACAAATAACCAAATTATACAAAAATATGTCGCAAGAGGCCGAAGCAAACATTATAGTAGATACGTTTACAGTCACAGATACTGTCAAAATTATAAACATACCTATTTATACCGGTTAGAAAAGTTTAATATATTTAACATATTTTTTATTTTATATTTACTGATCACTTTGCACAAATAATGATGTACCCAAACAGAAATAATTTAAACATTTGTATAATAACAGTCACTGCTAAAACAGTTTCAGCAATGAAGGGTGTTACACAGTGTAAATATGGAAGCTGATTAGTACACAAAATATATAAATTTTACTATATATAGATAGCATATTATTAAACACGTGTGCACATGATACTTTAAGTACACAGATAATAGTCAACTCATTATCTGACATGTGCATACTGCTATGAATGAAAGCCATCATAAGTATTATGAGCGGAAACCATTCTGACATTTTATGCACCTGTGATCTTAACCTTTTACCTAGTGACCCGAAAATTAATAGGGGTCATCAACTAGTTATGACCATTCAGAATGAGAAATATGAATACTTTCAGTTTGTGATAAACAGTTTTTAAGATTATCAGCAGAAACCACGTGGTCTAACAGCATATGATTAATCAATATGTGAAATATGAAGACTTTGTGATATATATTGTTTTCAAGATAATGAGAGGAAACCATCCACTATATGATTTGAAACTGAAAAAGAGCTTTCATAAGTATTAGGAACGAAAACCATTCTGTCATTTAAAGCCCTTGTGACCATGACCTTTGAGCTTGTAGCCCCAAAATGAAATAGGGGCCATCTAATAGTTACGACTAATCAGTATGTGAAAAATGTGAAATAATAATAAATAGTTTTCAAGATAAGGAGCGGACACCATTTACTACATAGGTCAAATTAATATGGAAATAATTAAGAATTTGTGATACATGGTTTTCAAGATAATTAGCAAAAATCTTTCTAACATTTAATGCCTCTGTGATTTAACCTTTGAGCTAGTGATCCTTAAATCAGTAGGGGTCATCTTTTAATTGTATTTATTATGACAAATCAGTATGTGAATTATAATGACAAATGGTTCTCAAGATAATGAGCGGAAACCATTCTGACATAATTTCTTCATTCAATAGATCTTACTAAAGTAAATGAATGTAACTATTTAGATGTTTTTACTTTTTTACTACTGTTTTTATTAAACAGTATCAGAAGATTAGGGATATAATTAATGAAATTCTGAGGTGTAACTTCATAACTTTGATACGTATATACATGTGAATGAAAACAGTGGAATGCTGTTCTTGAGAGAGTAGGCCAATTGATACTCGAACAAATAGTTTGCGAAGCCAAGTCTCAGTTCTTCAAGTAGAGAGCGAGACTGAATTTATAAAAGGCAGCTCTTTGATCCCATAACGTTTTAAAAAGGATGAACTGAGGAATAACATACCAAATATTTCGGCCGTTTAGGTATCAAAATAATTAAGTTTTGTGATTAAGTAAATTAAAGCAAGAACAAAATGGTTAGCAAAATAAATTCAAATTATAAACATGTCCGTCAGTCAGTCCCCACCCATCGTTCTTCTTCCTATGTCATTTTGTTAATGTAAACCTAAAACGAAAATGCAATTTAAATTTTCTCGTTGGAACCTACACTACCCAAAGCCTAAATTATGGGCATGAAGCGTTAGCTTGTAGAGTTCTGTATAATTATATGTTATGCATTGTTGTAGGCTTAATATCGTGGGACGAACCTTATATGCACAATGTTTAAAAGATCTGTTAAAACATATGAAAATGTAACACTCGGTAAAACATGACATTCAAAATGTTTGAATATGTAGGCAGTATTTCCATGTAGTTGAATGATACTTTACTAAGTTTGAATTGATCACTGTTTGAAAAACAAAATAGAATCCTATTTTGACTCTAATAATCAATAGTCCCCCCCCGCACTACATGACTTGTGTAATAATTAGTCATATTGAGACACATCATTATAGAATCTGAAATACTGAAATGCAAAAGTGCATTGAGACAAAATAGATGACACCAGTTCTTTTAGAATACTGAAGTCTATATCTTATATATCACATAACATAAAAAATAGTCAAATAAAACATAAAACTGATTGCTTCAGTTGATGAACACGAATTGATAATGAAATGATAAAAGATAAAACTGATTTATTTTTTTTATTTTTAACTCAACAGACTATGAAAAAGGAAGTAATGAAAGAAGAAGAAGAAAAGCAGATAAATGTGTTGATTCTAGGTCCAGTTGGAGCAGGAAAATCCAGTTTTATCAATTCTATTATAAGCATTGTTAAAAATCGACAATATGGCATGGCAGCAGCACATGGAAAATTCACAAAGTCCTGGACAAAAACAGTAAGGTTGTTTTGATATATATTGTTATGAATAGTTATGATGTAATGAACGAAGGGAGGATGTGTTTAAAGTGGGCATGTCATTGTATGGTTGCCATTCTTTTGAATGCTTTAGCGAAGTCATGTGAGCAACTGAGACCTATACTGCGACCCGTCAACAGACCATTCTATATGAAAACCCTGATTGTATTATCTATAACACTGTGTAGAGAATGATATTTGGTTGGTGCCTGGTAATTTGTGATACTGTGACAGAGTCATTTAGACCATTACGTACAAAACTGTCCTATAATTTCAAAACTTGTGAAATATAAACAATTTACCAACTTGTAATATCGAAGCAAATTTTAGAATAATAATGACTCCCAGATTATTATATGCTGACAATTTAGTATTATTACCCACACGAAAAAAGACAATAACGTCCATATAATGACGAATCTAATATTGGTGTATTTCTAAAGATGATTCACAATAACATGGTGGCCATAAGACGCTTACACGAATGCTGTTGAATAAGGCATTTCCTCATTGAAGTTATTTTGGGACGGTGAACAATTAAAAACTATTTTTAAAGTTCTGATGATGGATGATTATGGAATATAATTTTCAAACCAAACCAAAATTATAACATATAATTTCCCCGTTGAAAACATTAAGGGAATCGTCCACAAATCTAAGGTTTTCATAACATTCAATGTGTAAACCAAAAATGTGCAGCGACAGAAATTTCGCTGAAACGATGACAAGCACATCAACATGAAAAGCACATCAACGATTATAACAAAAGCTAGTCGATTGTTGGATATGGAGGGCAAAATAACCAAACGCCCCTCATAGTTTTTTACAAATATATCTCCTTTAGCTCATGATCTATGGTATTATAGAGAAAATATTAGACAATACATAAAGGAATACATTACAGTTGTTATTTACTGCATACCACATAGGATAATGCAAGATGCCAGGTTAGCGCTACGCCTCAGGTCAATCAAGTAAACTTTTGTTTCTCATATTTGAAATATGCTATTGTATTTAAGTCAGTAATTAAGTTTCTAAAATGAAATCGGTATCAAAGTAACGGTAAAAATCAAATTAACACAAAAGAGACTGTAATCTTTTTGTGTCGAATTTTTGTTGAATTTACGTTGCTGTTTTATAATTTAAAAAAATTGTTGTATTGTAAATTGAATAATGCTGCTGCACAAATAAAAAAAATCTGAGACATTATGCTATCAAAAATGAAAATAAATATATATTGGAAACTACGTAAGATAATTTACTTTTGAACACGGTCGTATAAGAGAAGATATAAATAATGATATCAATAAAGGATAGGATTGAGGCAAGAGATCATTGCCATGTGTCTTAAACGCATATTTAATATTTAATGCTTAACAGTGTATGCCTCCAAAATGTGGAAGCATATTGTTTAAGTAGCGTCCATCCTCCCGTCCGTCCAAAAGTATTTGGTTCATCAAGTTGTCATTTATTGATGGATTTCAAAACAATTTTGTATAAATGTGGAGCAATTTGGGGCAATGTGTTACGTGCAACAGCTAAGTTCAAAGGTGAAGGTCACACTCCGACTGCAATGTTTTATAAAAATGCACTTATGTTCGTGCCCGATCAATTATTATGTCATTGATGGATTGATTTAGGAATAATTATGCATATGTCAACGTGCAGAGCACACTTGCAGACTAAATGTCATGATATGAATTTTGATAAAGAAATACTAATGTTAGTGGCCGGTCAACAAAATTGACAGTCCCAGATGGAACTTAACATTTTTATACATAGATACATTAGACATTATGACAATATATGGTCCCTACCTGCAAGGAATAGGTCACAATTGTCGTGATAAAATATCATGATATAATTGTTATGAAAGTACACTGTTTTTCTTGTCTGGTCAACAATTCTATTATTCCTGGATGCGTTCAAAAATAATTAAACATAAATGTGTTTGAAATAATTACAACGTGGTTTAGGCATGAATCAGGTCCCTGCATCAAATGTCAAAGTCTCACATGAATTCCAAAGTCATGATATGAATTTGTTTTTACAAGTGCATTTATGGTTGTGTCTGGTTAAAACTTATGTCATTCCTGTGTGGATCTGGAAACCATTTTGCTAAAATGTTTAACAAGTTATGAGGATAATACTGGGATAAAAGTCAAAGGTAAAGGTCCAACTTGTATGTAAGACTTGATGATTATGAACAGGTTTTCCTCTTTTGTATAACCTCTCCGTTTATTTGGGATACATGTAGTTATGCATTATTATGCAGCTTATTAAGATGATATTTAATAAATAAATGTAGCTCAGCATCCTAAAGTTCAAGTTCTTACTTTAATGTCGGAAGTCATGATATACCAGTGTTATGATATTCATGTTGAGTCCATGTATTTTTGTCATTCAGTGACAGATTTTGTTATAACTTGGTTTAAAGATAATCGTCTTTAAAACATTTTGTGATGAAATTTAGCTTGTAGATTAAGGTCACGATAGGACACAAATGGTTATAGTTTCATAAAAGTACATCCTGTCATACATTCTGTCATCCATAAATTTTTAAATGACTAGCAATGCGCATGTAGAACATAAAGAAATATTGTCACATTCAAAGTTGTTGTCGACAGTTTAACACTGTCGAAATACTACATTGATGGCTGTGTCTAGTAATTGTTTTGTAAATAATTGACAAATATGTTTTGTTAAATTATTTGAGTGAGAAGATATTTGAACCGTACCTGTGATTCAAGTCAAGGTTAAGGTTATTTTACATGGCAGTCCTACTTAAGGAGTGAACGGGTACATTTGTTTGTTTACAATGACAGTTCTTGTATTTATTATACCTTAATTAAATTGAATTCAACAATTTCATATGATGACACTCAACCATGTTTTAGTTAATTACAATTTCTTTTTCTAACAGTACTTTTGAGTTTAAAAACGATAAAAAATCGTCAATATTAGAAACTTTTTGTCACGTTTACAGGTATTAAATTAAGGATCTCACTAGATAAATAATGATTAATAATGAAATTATTTAAAACTATTTAAAGAGAATATAAACAACCAGAATCCCAAAGGATCGTTAGAAACGAAAAATTTAAAAAAAGGTTTAAGGCTCGGATTGTATAGCCTTTTATGGACGGTTGTGTTCATTGTGTTACTTACAAGTTTTCCGATTTCCAGACAAGAGGACAAAACTATGTCTAGGGTTTTGACAAAATTGTGACCCTTTTCAACCTAGAATGACGGTTTAGTTTTGTACCATCTCTTTTACCCTTTAAACTCTTTAAAACTACACTACTGCAATTTTTCAGTGTAAAATTATTTGACCCGATCAATTAAATACTGTTTTTACAATGCATGGTCTTTTGCCAGATTTTGTAGCCCAAATCTTGTTTTGATGTTCGCGTTTGGAGTCACTCAAATTAACCAAAGTTTCATCAGCAGTGACGACATTTTGAAAAGACAGTGCATTGTGATTCGGACATTTCTTTTTTAGGCAATAAGGTAGCACAAAACACGTTTGAGAATGATATAAGCTGCTCCTAATAAAGTGTTAACAGTACTAGCTATTTGCCTAGTGGTTTACTTGCATCAGTATCAACTATTTCATTTCGATTTCTAGCAACACTTATTTTAACAACAATCTTGACATACTAAGCTGCTTGAGGTCGCCAGGCATTAATCTTCAGTCGTAATTAACCCGCAATTAGATTTATTAAAGCAACGAATACGTGATCAAAATGACATTTCATTTTGTGCATACATAGAACAGATTTCATCAGAAATGTCTTTATACCCAATGCCAAAAAGTCAACAATTATTAAAATATGACCATATTTTACTAACATAACATACAAATTGTTATATTTCAGGACATTGTAGACAGTTTCTGCATTTATGCATGGGAATAAATAATAAATAGCACGATATAAATACAGCTTAAGTGAACGGATTATATTGAATGTATCAATGTATCAATGTAAAGCTAGCATGCATATCCAGCCGGTTACATTGATTTCCGCATTTTAAGCAATATTGAATTTTGTTCAAGATCCATTTTTAATTGAACACGTTGTGTATCATGGGTTATTTTTCAATCCTTATGAGGATTTTTTAAGTTTTTTGTAAAGTTCAAATTACATTGAAAGCCAGCTTTTGTTGATTTATTGAGGGAATTTCGGTACTTTATCTAAATATATTTTGAGGAATGTTAAGTAAGGAGGTTTGTTTATATACATAAATGATAAAGTGGGAAAACATGGAAGTTAAAAAGTCATGGGTAAGCAATATGTATTTGCCAGAAAAAGTTTCAGCATATCTATTGAAGTCGTAAAAAATGCTATCTTTTAATAATTGGTAAGAAATTTGTTTGCGCAACAAATGCATACAGATCACAACAAGGATGATACATTAGTATTGGCATTTCGTAACTACATCAAATGAATACAAATGTGTCCGACATCAAATCAACTCCTACTCCTCATTGAAACCTATGTAGGCTCTTATTTTGCACTATATTCCTTAGATACCATACTATATGCCTATTAACTTATTATGTGATGCTGGATATGGTTGCGGACTGTTTTTGCTATTTTATCTCTTGCAAAATCTTACTGGTAAACATAACATATTGTTTGCAATGATCTTAATTAGTCAGACATGTAAATACACCGACGCATGAGTTTTAATGTGTGTATAATATGCAAAGTTTGAAGTTTAAACGTTTCTGAAGAGAAAAAAAAACAACAGAGATATTATAATTTTAGTTACTTACTTTAAATGAATTCGTTTCGCCCCCCTCACACTCCTTTATGCTTTAATCATTTTGTTCTTTAATAGAAATTTTGTCTTTTCTAAAACGCTTTAGTTATGCGCAACATGAGCAACTTATGATAAATGCTTTTATCTAAATCACATAATAAGGTAGAACATTTAAAAATAGCAACGACTTCATTCATGATTTTTTATGGTAAATGGTTCGGTTTTGAATGTCTCTTTTTTCAGTTCACAGACACATTCTCTTTTATCTTTTCTGTATTTTTTTATGTTTTTGGGGTTTATTGTTCAGATATTAGCATCGCATACAATTGAGTCTGAATACTTCATTCTCTTCAATTCAATCAATTGCTTAAGAAGACTGATCCTTATGATCAATGATTTTATTTGTTGGATATCCTAAAGCATCTTTTGTAAGTACAATGATAGATTTTCACGTAATAGCTACTAAAACAGGTCAATATTTCATGTTGTAATTCAAGACGAAACTTTAAACGGAAGAATTCTTTTCAAATACAGTCATCATGTCCAATTTCATGTTTCAATGAATGGTAGAGGCTAATTCTCCCTTATTTTTTCAATACAAGAGGTGTTTAATAGAATATTTACCGGCGAAATGATATACACGTAATGTTGTTTCAGGATATATAGTATCTTTGATCCAAAAATAAATAAGCTATTTACTTATTTTAACAGTTGGATGAATATCGATGTAGGAACTTACGTTTATTTGATTGTGTTGGCGTGGCACAAACTGAAGAAGAAGGGTTTCTCATAGATGATTTATTGTTCTTGATCAAAGGGAATATCATGGAAGGATACGTGGCAAGTACAATTTATTTCTAATTGCGACACAAAAATAGTCTATAATATAATTTCTTAATATCCAAATATCAATTCATTCATAGAATCACAAATGATGTGAAACTTCATCTACATGTACACATGTATCTTTACTGGGAACCTACATATTTACCGGACAATCAGTTTACCGGACGAAATATATTCATTTCGAATAAGGCTTTATTTTTGTTCCAATTCAAGTCATCCGGTCTGAATTACACACACACTTTCAATTTCAAAGTAAATAACAACAAGACCACTCTCATGTAAACATTGTTGATTCAGTTTTTTATTTATTTACATGCCGTTTTGTTATTTTATTTCATACCTGGGCATGCCAGTGAATTATGTGTTTTGCGTATGCCCGAATATTGAGGCCCTTAATGGGTTATTTTAGACAGGTTTCATTTATATATTTTCTTTACATTATCTCAGCAGACAATCATAACATATTTAAATAGTAAAAAGTATATCTAAATTCAATCCAGACAGTATTTCTTTGTAGTATGTTATAGGGAACTGCAAAGTAAAATCCAATCAGGAAACGGTTCACGCCCAATTGTTAAAACCAAGGGAGGAAACTCTACTTGAAATGTAAATAAAATATATTGTCTTGATTTTACTGGCTTCATGATGACCAAAATGAAACTGTATGACAAAGAACAGAATTACAAATGAATATCAAAATTTTCGTTTACTGATTAATGATGAATCAATGCGATAATTGAGTTAATTATGTGAATTTTCATTACACCCTATATATAGGCCTCTTCGTAATAAGCATGGCTTCCGTTAATGTTTTTAGTGACATCCTTTGGGTTTTTCTATATCTTAACATTTAACATTCAACAGTAGTAGTTCCCTTGCTGATTATCTAAATATTAATTTCAATTCACAACTTCAAGATATTATTATACACTATGACCGGTAAATTGAGTTGTCTACGCGATTATTTTCTCCTATAATTCCCGACTTTGTAGACACATTTTTATGGACAGTATGTAAAATTTTGTGCTTGATTAGGTAACGTTTGCGAGTATTAAGAACCAAACATCAATTGGGTTAAATTTCATTGCTTTTTATGGTTTTAATTAAAAGTTATAGCGAAAAAAAAAATCATATTTTGTCCAGTAATATGAAGGATCCCAGTATATTAAAAAAATGTGTTTAATTTATAAATGCTCAATGATGAAATTCTATTAAAATGTACTGATTTTAATAAATACAATTTTGTGCCCGTATATAATTGACATATATTCATCTATTTCCCTGATCCACTGCTTTCCTGGTCGCAAATAAACAGATACAATCCAAAACTTTATATAGTTTTAAATCAAATTGTGTTCAATTACTATAACAAAGACACAGTTATTAATCTGATAAAAATGATTTTAGTCACTTAAAATATTCCTTTATTTTATTTGAGTCTTCATTTCAATTTCCATTGATGAATTTCCTAAAATTAATTAATTCAACTTTTTTTTTAAATTTACAGTTTGATCCAGTCAAGTCAATAAAACAAAACGGAGAGGAAGGCAAACGCTTTTTTAAAGACGAGCCGGGTTTGAATGATCAGATGCATTGCGTTATTTTTATTGTTGATTCAACATCAATCAATTCAACTATTTCAGACGAATTGGTAGAAAAAATTGATAACCTGCAAGTCAAACTTTGTGATGAGCGTAAGGATTCCTTTTACAATAACGATATCTTTTTTCATAAAAATTGCATATGTTACAGGTTGTAATTTCAATAGTTGTAATCACTATTAGGTAAACGTATACGTTTTCATTGATGTTAATCATTACAGATTCGAAACAGTTATGTTTTTATTAATATACTTACTCTAAATTTAAATACAGTTGACCTGTTTCTACAGTTACAATTAATCAAGAAAGGCTTAGTAATGATAAACTTCAATATGACTTCGTGCATTCACTCTTACCGTTTCATGGCATACACAAGTTTAAAAACACATAACAAATACTTTATTTAACTTAAATAGTCTTTGACTATGAAAAGTATGAAATTCACCTGTCCAGGTTAGACCTGAAGTATTAAAATCAATGAAAAAAAAAAAACAACTTAAGAATTCACACGATAAAAGAACTTGTTCATATTAACATTTAAAAGTCTTTTTCTTTCTAGCAATTATGCATTACTATTATATCTTATCTGAAACATAAATAGTCAATTTACTAGATAATTGGTTTAAGGGCGACAACTCCTAAGCATACTAGAAAGAGTGTTCACTTTCTCATTACTACAGGTGGTACTTGAGGCAGACTGTCTTCGGTGTTCTATATGGGCAATATGCTATGATAAGACTGTAGTATATAGGGCATATAGAGCATTGAAGATAATTTGTTCCAAGTACCTGTGCTCACTACAATTAAAATTGCTTTTATATAATAATTATCTGCAGTTTTGTCTGTGCACTTGTTATACATTTAGTATTGTATATATACACTAAATATGTGAATTATGTACAATCACAATAATATAACATACAAAACATGGCAGTTAGCTTCGGCTAGAAAATGTTTTTTTTTTTTTAAGATTTGTGAAACAACAACTATGTTGCTGAAATAAAAAATAATAATGCTTGATTAAACAGAAAATCTTGTCTTTTAAGCCAGCATTAATTGTCAAGATCAGGTGCGATGTTTTTAAGCATGATATCTTTCCGATATATTAATTAAGTACATAATTGTCAAAAAACAGTACATTCGATATCAATAAAGTACAAAATAGTAGACTACATAGGCCCGGGAATGATAGAACTTTATATACCACTGTATTTTACTTTTTAGAGAGAGAGTATCAGAACGTACTTTTCTAGTTTCGGATTAATGAGACAAAATCTAGGTCTCCCTGTGTTCATTCGTTTACTGACAGATAGACGGACAGTGTATTTGTTTAATGAATAGTATTACTTATATGTTGTTTAGATATTCCCAGGATCTTGATTTTGACAAAGGTTGATAAACTTTGTGATATGGTGGCTAACAACATAAAGAATGTGTTTAGGAGCAGAGCCGTTCAACAAATCGTGAAAACAGCATCTGAGAAGTTTGGGATTGAAGAGGCATCCATTCATCCAGTCAAAAACTATGTGGATGACTTTGACATACTAAATGAGATGAATATCCCGCTCTTGATTGCCCTAAGGCAGGCGAAGAACTATGCAGAAGATAGAATTGAATATTTTCTTCAGCACAAGGAAGGACAATGAGAATATTTCATGAAATATTTACATAGCTTATAAATTGCTAAAACGTCACACATTGGTTATTGTATCATGGTGTGGTTTTTTTTTATTTTTAGCATATTAGTTTATACACTTTTGTAGATTGTGATATAAATGTTCTTGACAAATAGTTATTACTATAAGTACATGCGATAACACATCATGTTGTTAATCAAAGAGAGTATGAATGGTAACGATCAAGTCTGTATTATTGTTTCATTATATTTTCGAATAGTTATTGACTATACTTACAAATGAATGTGATAAATATTTGTTATCTTAAAACATCGAAACATATCTTTCAATCACTGTAAATCAATTGAATGAGAGTGCTTTTTATAGTTAATTGCACAAACGTGGACACGCTAACAAAGAATAAAATTTGTTGGGGTTTTTTTTCAGAAAGGATTGAATAAAGCATGTTTAGAGTATGTCTAGAGTATGTTTCTATCTTATGTTCCATGATATTTTGTGCGAGTCTACAATGCTACTTGCTCAATATGCATAAGATAAAAGGACTTGGTATTGACATTGTTCATAAAAAACTTAAATTTGTTTTTCTTTGTAAGATTGACAGTTTCATTGTTTACTTTAATTTACATGTAATTATGTATTTAGCTAGTAATTGGCTTAAGAAATATATTAAAGGTCCAGTTACTTTCGCGAAATGTCAACATAAATTTTCGTAAACGTATTCAAGAATAGGTTACATTATAATGAAACTATTAATCCGAAATACATCCCAGACGTGCCATTGCGTAAATAATAATGAGTACAGTTCTCACCATTGGTTACAAAACACAACAAGATTGTACTTTTGGAATAGTGTAGTGTTTCCAGGGAGCTCAATAAACAAACACACAAACGCAGACATGTAATACAGTCAAAAAGCATTTCATACTTTTTATAAATTAGTTATTCTGTTAAATTAATTCAGCGCTTATATTTTGACAATTGTTAATTTCTGTAAGTTAGTATCGCAGTCGATCTTAAGATACTTCTATTCCGTTAAAAACTGACTTATAAACGCTACGATGCATAACGGATAAACAGGCTGCTTGCAACACGTAAATAGCCAGTGTTTTGACTTCCATTAATAATTCTAATCAACTTTTTGTTTTAAGTAGTTTTAAGGCAACAATCAGGCATTGGAAATGGTATGTACAGTTTGTTTCAATTTAGGGCTGAATTATTTCATAAATAGAGGCTCATCGTGTACACTTCTGATTATGAAGAGCTTATACGTCTCCAATTATAAATTTGGCAGTCTAATCAATATTTTACTTACAAAGAACTACTGTCAGTCTTCCATATTCAGAAAACAATAGTCAAACAGAATGTTACATGACTCATCATTTTACACATATAAAACAAAATGTCCTTTGTGCAGTGTACGTGCATGTGTGCCTGTGTGTGTGTGTGTCCGTGCGTGCGTGCGTGTGTGTGCTACGTTCCGATCTGTACTTGTATCAGGTAATGCCCTAGTTGTGTTAAACATGTGTTTCTTTTTCAAAATGGATATTTAAGACTTTTAAAACCAGTAAGAAATGAAGTAAGTAGTCAAATGACTAAGTAGTCAATGTTGCTTTCTGTCCTTTGGCGTTGGGCAGCTAATTCGTCTTTCTTTTTCTTTTTGCAATTCAGGAAGCTATCCAACTCGGTTTGACCGTGATCATTTTCATGTTTAAATATTAAATTCCGCTAAAAATTTCAAAATATGGCGGAAAATTAAAAGCATACACTTGTTTCTAATGTCTATTAACAGTATAAACAGGTTCAATCAAACTTAGCCTGCAGTATTTTTAAGATTTTTCAATATGTCAATGTTGCCTATTATACACACGCAACAAAAATGATCCAGCAGTAAAACAATAAAGACAAAAGCTTTCTTGGTAACTATTCTTTTGCCTTTGTCTTGTTATATAATATACAAGAATTAATCGATATAAAGTAAACAAAATAACAGTAAACTCAGGAATATAAATCTGTATCATTTAAGCTAAAACAAAATGCTATTCCTCCCTTATATAGTTCGTTGTTAGCTTCAAATCCATGCATTGTCATTTAATGAAGTCGTTTTAGCGAATTTTTGTTGTCGTTTGTCCACGGGTTTCAATATCTAATATATCAAGAAAGGAAATGGCTGAAAATAGGCTCAAACACAATCAAACAATAATGACCAGTAAAAATATAAAACATACACACAACCTCTTGTTCGGTAAGTTCTTTCGAAATCACCAAAGGTCAAATGCATACAGTCGTCCATATGCGGATATTAGATCCATTATTAAGCATTAGATTTTAATGAAATAGATAGATTATAAGCACGGGAGTTGTAAAAAATTATATTTGTACCAGTAATTATGGAAATTAATGTCTTCAATGTTTAACCATCATCAGTGTATGTGATGGTTACTTCATATACTTCATAAAAATTGAATAATACCAGATTTCATACAGACACATACAGGTAAAAACAGGTTTGGCTGATGACGCATGCAGCTGCGAAATAGACAGGAGTGGGGTAGTTTCCCATTCAAAAAGTGGGTACGGGCACCTCCCTCTAAACCAATGAACACTGATGGTGCAAAAGAAGCATTTTTAATATATTCGGACACACAAAATATTTTTCATAACTTGCAGAAAATGTAATCCATTTAACCTGAAAATAATAATCAGAGCAGGCCTTGTCCATACACCTCTAATTGTTTCCATTTTATCTTTATCAATATGGTCCCCTGTGTAATGCGATATACTAAAATACGAAATATTATAAATATAGAACTGTTGTTAGATGAAGACTTAATCATAATAAGATTTGCTATACTTTTATGTCTGCTTTATTCATTGCATCTTGACATGCAACAGTAAAAATTTAATTTTTTATCTAAGTTTTATGAAGCACACTTCTGAATTTGGTGTATTTTAATCAAATGTAGGACCTGTGTTTATACATGTAGACACTTAGCTATATATTAAACGTTGTTTTAAGCCTTTTGCTAAAACCTTGAAGCATTTTTCAATCATACTTGTAACAGCTCCCTGGCACTTACAATTTTTATGAAGAAAAGTGGTCAGCGCCATCCTTGAGTAAACGTGAAATACATGTCGTAAAAAATGATCGATTTATTGTAAAAATTGACTATATGTATTTGCTCTCTAGCTTAAGTTTTTCAATTTCCGTTTAGAAATGTTCTATCATAGCAGCAACAAGAAATTTTGCAATATGTTTTTTTATTTTGATCATTTCTTTGAACGTAATATATTTGGTGTACTTTATTTTACAAAGAAACCAATCATTGTAAATGTTGCCCTAAATAGGTGGATAATCTTGTACGGATAACGATTGACTGAGTCAAACAACAGAGAGAATATTTCGAGGTTGTCTCAAAATATTTTTTATAATATTAATTAATTAATTAATTAATTAATTAAACAGTAAGTCCTATAACATTCTTAAAACAGGTTAGATTATTACACATCGCCTGACGATTATTAATCTTATTACTCGCCATATGATGTAATATTAAAAATTATTTTTGCTAAAGTTCATTAGGACGTTTTCGGAAGTTTTCATATAGACATATAGGCAAAATTAAACCTGTTCAATAGAATTATTTTAAACTTGGCATGTTGTTAGAATGAGTATTTTATATAGAAGTCAAACTGTTACTCAGTCAACATTTTCCTACCTTTGCGACAAAACACGGCACGTTATCCCTACGTTCTTCAGTTGATTAACATCTAAAACGTCTAAATCTATTATCAAAGCATTATTAAAAATCTGGAAACAAAGTGATCCCTCGAAAGCAAAATTGCAAGAGAATTACAATCTTGATCTAGTACTCAATACATTTTTGCTGCTGCTTTGAACAGAGTGTGCCTTCCACAATCATCTAGGACAGCCATATTGCTTGCTCTCTGTTTTACACACATACATATATATATATATATATATATATATATATATATATATATATATATATATATATATATATATATATATATATATATATATATATATATATAAATATATATATATATATATATATATATATATATATATATATATATATATATATATATATATATATAGATTTTTTGCGACGTGTTCCCGTTATTTCCACACCGTACAAAAGTTTAGGAGTTACTGTGTATAGTAAACGAACATATTAATTATTTCGTTCTTTCTACTTTAGTAAGTCAATCATTATGCCTAGCAGTAGTAGCAGTAGCTATCGTCCATATTTTACAGATGATGTCACTTTTGTTTGATAGAAGCTATTAACTTTTACTTTGGGTAACATTCCATAAAGTAAAACCACTAATATTGAGGCGCACATAAAAGATCGGGAAACTGAATGTGTAAAAAGGAGAGCAAACGTTATCGCTAAAGATTGACCAAAATGACAAAATTGAAAACGTTGCAAGCTCGGTTTGATTGAGCTTGTTCATTGACGGTATTTGTAAGTGCAAATTACACTCCATCTCCTTGCATCTCCGGCTAAAGCAGTAAGCAGTATTCATCATTTTAAAAAGTCGTTACCTACCTACCAACATTAACAATAACCATACGTAGACAGCTTATGAGGATTATATTTTCTTCAGATTATTATGCTTGACAGAAAAATTCATTTTCTGTAAAAATAAAATTAGTTTCAACAAAATAAAATGTTTTTTATGGTCGATTATCTGATTTCAAATAGAATCAATTTTTAAATCATATTTAAATTGTATTAACCTTGCTAATCGTATGAAAGTAATAAGCTATTAAGTTTCTTTTTTTTTCAATGAATTTGACAATATAATGCATTTTCATGTAACCTAGTTTTGAACCTGCTGGTATTTTATATCCAAAAATACTTAACTAGAGATATGAATAACAACAACAAACTGTAAGTACCCCTGAAATTAACTGAACTACAAATTCATTTTTGTGGAAGATAGATAAAATGTAACATTTAGTGATAAACAAATTTTGAAATGAATAAAAAGGAGTTATAGATAATGATGTCCGTAAACTTAAGTTAAAGTAATGTATCACTTAATTTTTAACACTTTAAAGATCCTGTTACACATTTTGTATGGTTTTATGTCATAAATATATGAACGAACGTAGCCTGCACAGGCTTATGTTTTTTAGAAGGCCAAACGGTCTGTAGATAATGTGCAAACTTATTATTAGTTCCGTAACTATCTTATCATAATGCTCTTTTGATTTTCGTCAAGAATTATTTTCAGTTCGAGGCTGTAAAAATGAATTAAAAACAAAGAATGGCTCTGATAAAAACCTTTTCTCTTAAGACCAGTTTCTGCACCGACCTTGTACATTTGATATTTAAAGTACAAAAATTCTGCGGTTCAATACATAAAAAATTTTAAACTTGGATCAGCTTTAAAACTTTACTTTTTTCATG